AGTGTTCCTTATGATTCGAGCAGAATTTTGGGGATTGCATTTCTAAAAAGAGCGTCTTCCATCTATACCGAAACGTTTTGATGATGCAGGCTCCCGACAATACGGGTATCTTTTTGTAATATCTTTAATTTGCAGATGTTTGTTTGTTTCGTATGACATATTTATGAACGCCCTATAATCTTATTTTTAAATCACGGGTTTTGAAATGCAATAGCTGATTTTGCGATGATTAAGAGAACCTTTGTTTCCATTCTTTAAATCGATCTTGCATGTGACAGAACAGATTGATGATAGTATGACCTATTTTGATCTGATGAAAGAACGCTTTTCAATATACAACGAAAATAATATAAAACAAAATAGAAAACGGAACAATATCTGATAAACTCGCTGCAATATGAAAAAGAAAATATCGCAAAACATAGGTGAAAACACAAAATAAATGCAATATGAAACAAATAATGTGTCAAAACATACAGAAGGAATACAATTATACATATCGTTTCTTTTTTGTACGTGAACAAATTGATATAATACAAGTATTGAACACATTCATGAACAGAAATGAACAATCATGCCAACGTTAACGCCTACAAAACTTCGATGTTGGGAGGGAAATAAACAATCAGAACAACAATCTAAATCAATTTCATGTACTTAAAATAATAATAAAACAAATCAGTAGCCACAGTGAATATTTTTAAGTCAAATCCTTCAATACGAGAGCGACACACAAGCGAGCACTACATGAATAACTAAAGCGCTGGACCGGGTGCGAAAGGGCGCGAAAGCTTTTCAAAGTTTAAGCTCAAGGGCTTCGCCGGGACGCGCCCCGGCGGGATTATCTCGTAACAATGAGACTCTAAACAATAGCCAGTTTTTAATGAGCTGGAAACCAACTGGAGTCCTCTCGTATCCGACGCAAAAAGGCGCAAATGGGTAGATTTTGTCGGACTTTGCGGTAGCCATTTAGAAGACCTGACTAAAAATAATTGCAGTGACAACAATTTTATTTCATTTTTTGTTACGTTAACCCCCGGCCCCCCCCCCCCCACTCAGTGTTATTTAGGGTACGCATATGCTCGTACCCTCTTTTTGAAAGCACCCCCTATCTGAGGACTGCCAATATTTCCGAACCCCCCTGTCGCGGGCTTTTCGCGGGCTTTTCCTGCCTTGGAGTCCCCCTAAATCAGGAAAAAAATGCCCAATGTACCCTCCTAAATTCGGAATAATTTATCAGGAGTCCAAAGATATGAGAGAAAAAAAAGAAAAACACCCCCTTTTTAAAGAAATCTCCGGGTGAAAAGTCAAATACACCCCTTTTTTTTAACAATTCTCGGGCCGGACTTTGTTGCACAAAAAGTACCCCTTTACCGGACATTTTGGCAACACGCATGCGGTCATTCCGACCTCTGAGTGGGGGGCCGGGCATTTATCTTAACAATTTGATATATTTCCTAGCCTAAGAGTGTAGACAGACATATTCCTAAAGCCAAAATAGGACAGAGGGCTCATCCGTCATGGATGACTATAACGACAAGAAAACACCTAAAGAATAATAATAAAATTTGGAACAAATACCAATAGAACAGTACGGCGGACAGCTGGACGATGTACAAAAAGGCTCGAAATGCAGCCACAGAGGAGGTGAACAAGTCAAAACGAGATATTGAAAGACAGATTGCAAGAGAAATAGAGGAATATCCTAAAGGTTGTTGGAGTTATGTGAAGAAAGGAACAGCAAGTCACTCATGAAAAACAAGATGGATCCCTTCCTTATAATCCAGTATATTCACAACAGAGGATACAAACCACATCCCGAAGCTAGTGCCAGCAGAGGTGGCAAAGAGCCTGAAAGAGCTAGAATTATCTTATCTTAAAATTCGTTTAATATTGTTATGTTATTTTCTTGTTTTGTTTTGTTGTATTAAATAAGATATTGTATGTAAATTGTTATATGTTTTTTATGAGAAGTGAAAATAAATGAAATGAAATGAAAACATTCTGAATCACCTCAAGATACTGAAGCCTGACAAATCCCCTGAACAGATAAAATACACTCACAGGTATTGAGGCTGCAGATGCAATATGTATCCCACTCTTTCTGATTTTCAATAATGAGGGACAAGTACCAATAGCATTGAAAAAGCCAATGTTGTCCCATTACACAAAACAGGACGTAATGAGGCAGTGGTAATTACAGACCAGTGAGTTTAACATATGTAACTTGCAAAGTCATGGAAAAGTTAGGGAGAAATAAGATAAGAGAGTACATGGAAAAGAATGAGCTTTTTCTGCCAGACAACATGGATTCAGAAGTGGAAGGTCATGATAAAAAACGTAACTTTATTTAGGTTTATTTAGCTTTTATTTCCACATTAACTACATATGAAAAGAATTGACAAGGTAAGGCATATACAAGGCAACAAAACATGTAGGTAATATTCGATAGATACAACAGTAATAAAACCGATTTAATGGCAAGTCATTAATACAAATGATGCTAACAAAATTCTGCAGTAATGAGGAGGAAACCTTGGAAACATTGTGCTTGTAATCAAGGTTCCCTTTACATTAATACGTTTGTTACATAATATATGAAAACCAAAACAAATCAAAAGAACAAAAACGGGTGTGTGGTGCTGCCAGCCAACAAATGTTGATAATACCGATGGTCTCTATCATGATGACCTTAAGCATTTTCATACTGAAGTAGAAGTTTATGTTTCAAGTGATATGTAAAAGTAATTGAACTTGGCAGTTGTTTGAGCGAAATGTCCAAGGAGTTCCAGTACACCGGGCCAGTATAACTTTTTTTTTTTAAATAGTAAAGTTCTCAGTTTGTGTAAGTGAAAAAAGGAAGACTGTCGGGTTGGATAATTATGAAGTTGTTGATTCTTTTGGAATGTCGACGTGATGGCATGAGAAAGTTCGTTAGCTAAAGCCGGGGTAATAATCTCCAAATTTAGAAGCGCTTAGTGATTCTAATAAGCGCTATATAAAAACTGAGTATTATTATTATTATTAATCGAAACATAAAACAGCCTAAAAAGAAATTATACAAGTCATGAACTTTCAATATTTTATTTTCTAAGAAAAAAACTATAAGTGTGGCTTAACCTATTAGTATCGCAGATTATTCGTATGACGCGTTTTTGAAGTATCAATAATTTTTCTAATTGGTAATTAAAAGAATTCCCCCACGCAAGTATGCCATAGTTAAGATAAGGCAAGATAAGCTTCGAGTACATGCTTTTAAAAATATACTTATAGAAAACGACATTTTTAATTTATTGATTATTCCAATGTTCCTCGATAGCGTTTGTTATGTATTGGCGCATCTGCGCATGCACAAATCAGACAGTAACTTGATTAAACTACTTGAACACACACTCTGATTCCCTATCTCGTTTCATCTCCGTCTTGGCCTACTTTTAGTAAGATGTTATACTAAAGAATAGGTAGTCTCATTAACTAGTTTATATACAACAACTGGCGACGAGGATTGTGGATTTCTTCCGTAGAAATGGCAACTTTTGGAGCTCTCAGTGAGTTTCATCCGGAGGCGGAGGAGTGGAGTCACTACAACGAACGCATGCATCACTACTTTGCTGCGAATGACATAGTAAGTGCCGAGAAGAAACTTTCGATATTTTTGAGTGTGTGTGGTCCTCCGATGTATACACTATTGACTAGTTTGACTTCTCCAAAGAAACCGGGAGATTGTACGTTTGATGAACTAATTAAGCTCATCTCGGATCACAAGGATCCCAAACCGTCTTTTATTGTTCAACGGTTTAAGTTCAATAGTTGAGTCTGTATCTGAATATGTGGCAGAGCTACGCCATATTGCCGAACATTGCAAATACGAGAGCACGCTGAAGGACATGCTAAGAGACCGTGCCAACGATGATCGCATCCAGCGACGTTTACTGGCCGAAGCAGACCTACCGTTCGAAAAAGCGTGGCAGCTCGACCAGCAGAGGGCGTTTGATAAGAGCAAGGAACTCTTACAATCATCGCGACTTCTCACCCATTTCGACAATGACAAGGAATTGATACTCGCGTGCAAAGCCAGTCCGTACGAGGTAGGAGCCGTGCTGGCACACCGGATGTTGGATGGGGAAGAGAAGCCCATTGCATATGCGTCGAAAACGTTAAATTCGGCAGAGCGTAACTACTCTCAATTGGACAAGGTGGGGTTAGCCATCATGTTTGGAGTGAAACGATTCCACCAGTACGTATACGGTAGGAAATTCACAATAGTAACCGACCACAAGCCGCTTCTGGGGCTCCTCGGGGAGTCCAAGGCCATTCCGCAGATGGCCTCGCCGAGGGTTCAAAGATGGGCCATTACCCTCTCTGCGTACGTATACAAGCTGGTATATAAACCCGGATCCGCTAATTCAAATGCGGACGCACTGAGTCGCCTTCCAAGAAGCACAAAGACCACCGAGTCTGAGTTACCAACAGAAATTCTGTCGATGTTCAACATCTTGCAGAGAACCCCTGTCACACCGAAGCGAGTTCACGAGTGGACAGCACATGATAGAGTTTTATCACGTGTCCGGAAACATGTGATGTCCGGATGGGGACATTCTTGCGAAGATGAAGAATTGAAGCCATACTTCAATAGGAGAGATGAACTCAGCGTTCAAGATGGATTTGTCTTGTGGGGTACCCGGGTCATCATCCCCACTAAGGGTCGGGAACAGATCTTAGATGAGATACATGACACTCATCCTGAAATCGTAAGAATAAAATCCATCGCGCGTGGAATAGTCTGGTGGCCGAAACTAGACTCTGAACTGGAACGGAAGGTGAAGCAATGCTCCGTTTGTCAGCAATATCAGCGCCTTCCACCGCGATCTCCCGTGCATCCATGCGAGTACCCGAGTGCTCCATGGGAGAGAATTCACATCGATTTTGCCGGTCTGTTCGAATGAAAAATGCTCCTGATAATCGTTGACGCGTATTCCAAATGAATAGACGTACATGTGATGTCATCGGCGACATCATCGGCAACAATCGATCGCCTCAGACAGACATTCGCGATACATGGACTACCTCATGTGGTAGTTTCCGACAAAGGAAGTTCCTTCACGAGTTTGGAATTCCAAGATTTCATGTCGCAAAATGGAATCAAACATGTGAAAAGTTCACCTTACCACCCCGCTACAAACGGACTGGCAGAAAGAGCGGTACAGACGGTCAAATCTGGTCTCAAGAAAGTCACAGGAGGTAAACTCGAAACTCGCTTAGCGCACTTCCTCCTGGCCTATCGGACAACAGAGCACTCCACCACTGGAATGCCGCCAGCCGCCATGTTCATGAACAGACACTTGAGAACCAGACTGGATACCGTATATCCAGACGTCAAAAAGAAAGTTGACGAAAAGCTGAGAAATCCGGCCGCGCTAAACCTCGGACCTCGGACTTACCGAGAATTCCAGACTGGTGAGCTGGTTTTCGCCCTAAACTTTGGCATAGGAAACACTTGGATGCCGGGAACGGTTACGGAAAAACGCGGTCCGGTGTCCTACGAGATCGAACTCGAGGACCGAGAATGGCGACGTCATGTCGACTATTTAAGAAATCGATATCAGAAAAAGGATGAATCTTCCGCGTCGCCTTCGAATTCCGATGACGAGTTCCTTTTTCCTGAGGAGGGCGAAGCAAATGACCGTCAAGATCATCAACATCGCGATGACCACCAGGATCGCGAGCACTTCGACGATGATCACAATCACAGGGATCGCAATGAACACCAAGATCGCGATCAACAACCTGAAAGGAGTAAACACCCACAACGAGAAGGACGGCGCCCTCCCGATTATTACGGGTTCCCATAAAGACTCTTAAAAGGAAGGACCCTTAAATAAATGGAACTTTAATTCCAATATAAATCGAATAGTTCACAAACGAAGGAACGTAACATTTCTGGACTCATGAACGCTTTCGAATATCAACATGTTACTTTTTATTTGGACTCACAAGTTTCCCAGCAATGATATAGTTAATTTACGATAACACACACTTGTTTCATGGAATGTATTTTCAGTCTAACGGGGGAGGGATGTTATGTATTGGCGCATCTGCGCATGCGCACAATCAGACAGTAACTTGATTAAACTACTTGAACACACACTCTGATTCCCTGTCTCGTTTCATCTCCGTCTTTGCCTACGTTTAGTAAGATTTTATACTAAAGAGTAGGTAGTCTCATTAACTAGTTCATATACAACAGTGTTTTACTTTAATATAAGTCGTGTTCTTTCCAAGAAAGTTTGCCAATGATAAAACCAAGGAATTATGACGAATCAACTAAGTTTATAATTGTTTTGTTAATGTAAACATTGCTAGGCAATTCCGAAATAGAGGTGCTGAAGAGCATACATTGAGTTTTATTTAAGTTCAAGGAAAGTTTGTTAGCACAGATCCACTCTTCAACAAGTTTCATTTCAAAATTTACGGCTACAAATACTGTATTGGGGTTTTTATGTGAGAAAAAACACAGAAGAATCATCAGCAAATAATATCAACGACAAAACATCGGATGAGTTTTGAAAGTCATTCATATACATTATAAATAAAAGAGGCCCCAGAAGGGATCCTTGTGGAACTCCACAAATTAACTGATGAAAGGCTGAGTCTACTCTATTTATGGATACGTATTGTTTCCTACCCCTGAGGTAGCTTTCGAACCACCCCAAGGCCCTTCCATGTATACCATAGTGTGAAACTTTGATCACCTTGATGACAAATCATTAGTTCTCCTGTATAAAACCATGATACGACCTAAGTTAGAGTACTGCTCAACAATATGGAAGCATCTTTTGAATAAGGGTAAGTTGGAAAAGGTGCAGAAGAGGGCTGTCAAAAGTGTGAGACACTTAAACTACTCAGAGAGACTTAAAGCACTGAAAATCCCCACTCTACGGTTCAGACGGAAACGATCCGATATGATTCAAGTGTTCAGAATAATGCACCAGTTTGACAATCTTCAAGAATAAGACTTCTTCAGCAGAACAAAGTGCAGTCGTACCTGTGGTCACTCACTTAAGCTTTACAAGCTAAAATGCCGGAAGACACTAAGGAAAAATTCATTCAGCCAGAGAATGATCAATGTGTGGAATGTGGAGAGTATCACTATTCAATCGCTTCAAATCTGTACTGGTGGAAAGATGCCCTAGATAAATATGATGACAAGCCCAACCAAAGGAAATCATGGATAGGACCAACAGTCTAAACGCTGAATAATCCTGGATCAAGTGAGCTACAAGTGAGTTACCAACCCCCTCCCCCTCCCCCTTTAACGATACTATGTCCCACTTGCAGGCCAAAACATATGAGAAGGTTACATTCCAACGGAATTTGAAAGACGATGCCAATTCAGAACTCCCTTCAAAACGAAATTTAGTGGGAAAATAACTACCATTAGTTGTCGAATAGACTTAAGTGATTGTAATCACCTCAGTAATAGTTAGATTTTCAGACCCTTTTAACGAATGATTGTACCTTTTGTACTGCACAAAGATTTAATCAGTTTAAATTTGGCCATTACAAGTAGTGGGTTATGTATGTAGGCAAACACTCATGTACATGTTACAACTCATTGTAGGTATGTTATTACCAAAGAACAAAAGATGTTAGTCAGTCAGTGAATAATGTCTGACAGTGAAGCGAAAACCATCGTTTCATCGGTTTCCAGACCCACACAATCGCAATCACATGTTCAAGTTATTGGTAGCAGCTCTGAAGTTATTTCAGAGCTATTTCTGAGAAAAAGTACAAGAACGACGAGAAAAAGATGGATATGCAGTTGTAATGTTACAGTTTACAGCAGTAAAGCGTACGTACGCAATAGCGGTTGACATCATGCGATGCGTCACAGAACGGGTCGTTTGCAAACACAATGGCGACATTCTAAAATTCTCATAGCCGCGAATGACGAAGCTTTCTGAAGAAGAGTTACGTCCTCCCTTTCGTCAAATGTACGACTTTTAATTTTTTTTTAGATAATGCTTTAAATGGCCTGAAACTGAAATCAACATATTGAAACGTTGTATCATCCGCTCAATCTGACTCGCGTGCATAGAACAAATAAGCATTTTTCCATGAAAAAGTGAAGTTTTCTAAATTGTGCGTTTCTTTCCAGCATTGGGGCGCCCGGAAGTCACTCGGGTAACATTTCATACGGTATAATATAAAAAGACCATATGCAAATTTTCTGTACTTTTGTCGGAAAAAATACATTTATCCAGCACAATGTCGTCTCTTTTTGCGTTGGAGAAGAGCAAATAGCGAGTTTCAATCACACTTTGGCCGCTCTCGCAAGCTGGAATGCCAACATGGATTTGCAGTTCGTAACAAATGTATTTGCATGCGTGGCTTATATTGTATCCTACATGTCAAAAGCTGAACGAGAAATCGGAATGCTATTGAGTCATACACTATCAGAAATGAAAGAGGGAAATGAGAACGCAAAGGAAAGCATGAAAAAACTTGGCCAGGTGTACATGCAAAATCGTGAAGTGTCTGCTCAAGAAAGCGTCTATCGTGTTTGCAGTCTCAGATTGAAAGAATGTTCTAGGAAAGTGGAATTCATTCCTGTTGGACCCGACCCTGTCTGAATGAGTTTACCATTACGCGTTATAAAAAGCTGACCAGATAACGATAATGATGATGATGAGAATGTTTGAATGCCTAGCAAGCTTGACAGATACAAAGCTCGACCTAGAAACACAGAATTCAGTGATATGTGTCTTGCAACGTTTTGTTCTCAGTACAGAATCTTAACTGCATCCCAAACGCCAAGTACAAGAAGTAAAAATGTCTTTAAATTAGATAACGATCTGTGGTATATTCAGAAGCGTACTCGTACAGGAGATGCAGTTGTAAGATATCCCCGATTCTCACCCATCATCTCACCCGAAAAATATTACTTGAGCATTTTGCAACTCTTTCTGCCATATTTTGAAGATGGACAATTAAAGCCGCCAACATTTGTAACACATGAAGAGTTCTACGAGACAGGTTCTGTAAAAATATGTGGACGTGGATTGGAGAAAGTCTGGTCAATTGTCTGTACTAACCGAAAGAAGTTTGAAATGAATGCCGATGCAATTGATCATGCACAGGAGCATCTTGACAAATTTGGTCCACACGAAGATGCATGGGGTCTTTTATGTCCGGAAAAGGAAGTAGAGCGACTTGAACATCCCAAAGAAAATGTAGATGTCGAAGATTGTGATGGAGATCTTGATATCCCTGATTTAAAGAACGAACCGAAAAAAGATGACTATAGCATCGAATCGAACTACGTTCTGTAAAAATTTCCAAACAAGATGGACATTCTTTGATGAGGTCTTCGAATGAGAAGCAACAGATTGTTTTTTACAAAATACGACAGTGGTGTTAAGATAGAGTAAATGGAAAATCAGTCGAACCGTTTCATATTTTTCTAACTGGAGGTGCTGGCACCGGAAAGAGTCATTTGATCAAATGTCTTTACTATGAAGCAACACGTATACTAGCTCGAATGTTGCCACATCCTGATGATGTCTCAGTATTGAAAATGGCTCCAACCGGAGTAGCTGCATACAATATCAATGGCCATACTATACATAGTATTTTTTCTATTTCAATCACAGCACAAAAACTGTATCAACCGCTGAGTGATGAGAAAATAAGTGTCCTTCGAAATAAGCTGGCTGAATTGCAAATTTTAATCATAGATGAAGTATCAATGGTAGATCAAAAGTTGAAGTCTTACATTCACGGCCGCCTACGACAAATAAAACAATCACGCGATCAAACTGCTTTTGCTGGTGTTTCAGTTATTGCTGTGGGAGACATGTATCAGTTACCTCCAGTCATGGAAATTCCTTTATATCAAGACACACTCAATGGTGCATTGTGGAATGCTAATTTCAAAAAAGTAGAACTTGAAGACATTATGAGACAAAAAGACGATGCCCAATTCGCATTTCTCTTAAATAGATTACGTGTAAAACAAGGGGATGAGATTCTCTGCGGTGAAGACCTAGCAATGTTCAAGTCCTGTGAGACTGATGAAGAATGTGAAAATGCTCTGCATATCCATGCATGTAACAATGAAATAGATGCTTGGAACAAGAAATTATTGCATACACAATGTGGAGATGTGATATGCGTAAAAGCACAAGACATGGACAAAGATGTTAAAAAAGGAAATCAAATACTGGAAAAACCTTATACAAAGATGAAAACCCAGTTGCCTCCTTATCTGTGGATTGCAGTTAATGCTAGAGTGATGTTGCTCAAAAACATTGATGTTAGTAAAGGCCTGACAAATGGATGTTTCGGAAATGTAACAGAAATAATAACGGATCAAACAAATTTGAATCCAGTTTGCATCAAAGTTAATTTTGAGAAGGCCGATGTTGGTATTCATTCAATCGAAATGTCTCAAGAATCCATTGGTAAGAAATATGTGAGAAAACAATTTCCACTTAAGATTGCTTATGCTTGCACAATTCATAAAGTACAAGGTTCGACATTAGACAAAGCTGTTGTATCATTAAGAAATGTATTTCAATCTGGACAGGCATATGTTGGGCTTAGTCGCGTTACTTCGTTATCTGGACTTGTGATAGAACATTTCGATCCTAAACGTATATATTGTAATCCAGAAATTAAAGAACGCATTGAGATTATGAAGCTGTTTATCGAGAATGAAACTTCTGAAGATATTCACGATTATAACTTTTCTTTGGTAATGCAAAATGTACAAGGATTAAAACAGCATTTTACTAATTTCAAATCCCAGTGCCAATTTGTGAATGTAGATTGTATTTGCTTGACCGAAACATGGATTAATGATGATGATCTCTGTGACGTTATTTTAGATAACTTTCGATTTTATCATCAGCCACGACATCTGTCATACTGTAATTCTGGAGTTGGAAATGTACTCAAAGAACAATCGCACGGAGGTGTTGCAATGTATATCAAGAATACATATTCAAGTAGATTAAACATATCTGTCGACAACTTAGAGTTTATCGCAATTCTTGTCACCAAACCAGTTTCTGTTGTGATTTCAGTTGTTTATCGACCTCCATCATATAGTATCAAATCATTCTGTGAATCATTAGACAATTTGCTAGATGCATTACACAAAAGAAGCATTAGGTGTATTGTGATGGGAGATTTTAATGAGGATTTGTTTAAAGGTTCTTTACAGGTAAACAAGCTAATGTGTAATAAAGGTTACAAACAGCATGTTGTTAATGCTACTACTGAGAAGGGAACATTGATATATCATGTGTACAGCAAGGGACTAGATTTATTGGAAACATAGGTCATCCCTACATATTATAGTTACCATAAAGCTGTTAAAGGGGAAGTCCACCCTGAAATTAAGTTAGTTTTAATAGGAGTAGAAAAATGAGAGAAACAAGTCAGTGAAAGTTTGAGCAAATTCCGATTAAAAATAAGGAAGTTAGGATTTTTGATGTTGTGATCAATCAAACACAAATTGGCAACTCTATGACGTATCATGCGAGCTCAACTTCCATTTGCTCAGTCCTAAAAAAATCTAAAATGTTCATTTTCCCTCAAGAAAAATTTCAACCATACATGCACCATAAATAATTGCAAATATGTTTCTATACTCCCCCTGCAAGGAACAAATATATATTCCGTCATCAATAACGAAGAAAACATGATTTTATGGAATATTATGCACAAAGCAAATGAAGGAGAGCTCGTATAATAAGTCACAGAGTTGCCAATTTGTATTTGATTGATCACAACTTCAATAATTCATAACTTTCTTATTTTCATTCAGAATTTGCTCAAACTTTCACTCACCTGATTTTCTTATTATTCTGCCTCTATCGAAACAAACTTATTTTGGGTGTGGACTTTCCCTTTAAGATTGCTTTTTAATATTAGTAGTAAAATGAGAAGAATAAACGAGTAAATTTCTTAATTTTTTTGATGAATAAACATTTTCATTTATCATGTCTTGCATGTTTTGCAAAAATGAATGTGAATATTATTCCTTCTTAAAAAGGTTGTCAATATTTTGTTAGCTTACCGTACACTTATCAATGATATCATCTGTAATGGACATCACATTGAAAGCAGGTAGTAAAGTTGGTAAAAACCCTTTTCTTAAGGTGATGAGTTGAAGGATTTATGTGTTGTCACTCCTTGCCTTTCAAACCTTAGTATCTTTAAACATCACTCACATCATGACATGTACATGTATTTTCGAACTTATAAATAATATTTTAGAAATCTTAAACAATGGTACACATTTAGAATACTGAATTTATAGGTGGATGAATAACAAGATCATACATCCATTCTTTTTCTTCCCAGGTTAAGGATTGTCGACCTGATCCGTATATTGAAGTTGGAACATTCCATGAACCTTGCAAAGTGCTCATTTTTTGACTGGATTGGAGTAGGAGACAATTGGAACGTCGAAACCATCACTCTGAAAAAGATCGACACTCAAATCAGAGATCAAGCTTGAACGTGACAATGAGACATGAAAGTATTTAAGTAAAGAAGAGGTTGATATCATGGTTATGGAATATAAAAATGGGAAGGTTAATGATAATGAATGAATACTAATATCGGGACGCAATGCTGAAATGTTATTCGCTGAAAGATGATTTGTTTGGTAGTGATAATGAGTTTTAGTTGAGTAGGTTATTCACTATAATGTAAGTTGTTTGAGTTAATGAAAATTGGAGGGTTATACAGAGATGCCAACCAGTACGATTAAATCGTATTTAGTACGATAATAAGAGTGAAATACGATCTTAAAATCATACAATACGATTTTTCATATTTTGTTTCCAAAAAAAAAAAAAAAAAAGAGCGGAATCGCATAGAAACATGTACAAGTAAACCCCCGCATCCCCAACAAAAATTGCTTTACAATTTTCTTATTAAATTTTAATGAAAGAGCAAATATTTTTCTGAAATTTTACTGGCCCTCGGCAGTCCCAGAAGGGAGGGGGGGGGGGGGTGGGCTGTCGATATTTGAAAATGCAAAGGTCAATTTGCATAAATTTTGAATACCGGTATGCAAATTTCATCATTTTATTTTCTTTAAAATGTATTATATTGTTTTTTATTTCTTATTATATCTCGAGGGCTTAAAACCAGAACTGTCTATGTTCATTTTTTGTAAAATTGAGTTTCCACCAAAGTACTGTATATTCATTTCAGTTTGTGTCTATTCAGAACTGTCTATTCCCATGTATGTCCATTAGCCATTTTACTTTCATGTTCAGACTGTTTCAAGTACTTTCACGCATTCATCAAGAATTGCGCAATACTTGCAGTTTTCTACTAATTAAGCAGATAAGATTCCCTATGCAGCTATTTCACTGATTGTGGCCAAGCAACACCATATCATTACCCGGAAAAACCATGATGATAAATAAAAAAGACCAATGTGCAACATGTACGAAGTATGACCAGTTGTCGGGAGAACAGAAGGAGAATTTCAAGGAAGCCCATCTCGTACGAAAAACAGAGGCTCAAGATGCCAAAGCAGTCCCTTGCATCGTGTAAGACAGGAAATCGTTGTGAATAAGATGGAGCGCAAAAGAGGACAAGCTTACAACAAGAAATATGCTGATGAATTTGAATTCATTGCATCGTCAGGAAAGAGCAAACATGCAACTTGCTAGGTATGTCGGCGAGATTTGTCAATTTTGCATGGCAGTTGTAATGACATTGTTGTTCATTGCAAATCATAGCAACACATCACTGCTTTCCAGCTTGAATCGTCAGCACGAGAAATAACATCATAGATGCCAACCTCCAAGGATTTTAATATAACTAGAGCTGAGTGCTTATTTACATCATTTTATTTGGAGCACAATATTCCTCTATCAGCTGCAAGTCACATGGGACCATTGTTGAGGAAAGCCTTTCCTATTAATTCTGAGGAGGTTAAGAAGTTTTCCAGTGCAAGGACCAAACATCTTGTCTTGTGCGTGAAATGGCCAAAGATAAACAAGGACAGATCGTTTCAGCCATGAAAGCACGGCCATTTGCAATATCATCTGATGGGAGTAATGTCAGTGACAGTAAACTATACCCAATTGTCATCAACTACCATGATGGTAAGCAATTTTCTTGCACTCTGCTTTCCCTCCTAACCTTAGAAATGGCAGGAACTGGTGAAAATATTGCACATCATTGGGATCAGACAATACATCAGTCATGACTGGTGTAGGGAATTGGGGCATGCTTCGGAATGTGTCAGCCAAACCTCATTGTACTTAGTTGCCCCAATCATCTAATTGATCTTGCTGCCAAAGCTGCGTCATCTGCATTACCATATTCAATTGACTCGCTCCTTATTGATGTACTATCTGGAAGCCAGCGTGAACAGAAAATTGAATCTCAAGAAGTTCCAGATGCTCATTGGGAACGAAGTGCACGCAATTCTGAAACATGCTAGTACGAGATGGCTGCATGAGCTTGGGCCAATGCTTGCCAAGATTTATCCAGCAATGGCTAGCTCTAGTCCTCTTTTTTGAAGGAGAATTGTCAGCCCAGCAGAAGACGCCTACTCAACAGACAAAGCAGAGAAAGCCTACTCAACAGACCAAGGCTACCAAGAATAGTGCCCAGACTTCACTTGTTCCAAAGAAGCCAGCTCCATGCAGCTGTGAAAAATTAACCTGCTCAAGGATCTCAACTGAAGGTAAGGCTAGAAAATGTATTACTACAAGGCATCTACTCCTTTTCACTCCATTGAAATATGTATAGCCATCATTAAAATTACCAGATTTGAATAGATTAACCCTAGCAGTAGAGAGCTTTCTTATTGTTTGAATTAATCAGCTTTTACTCCTCAAATTGGCAACAGTTATTATCATTTTACACTCTAAAATAGTTTTTTAAAAAATAAAAATGGATAGTACATAAACTAGAATGGTAATTGCAAAATTTAATTTAATGTGTAATTAAATTTCTTGCTTATAAATAAGTCATTATCAATAGTGTTGCAGGCATCGCATGAAGTTTTTAAACTTGTCTTGTCCTGCAGAAAAAGGCTGCTCACCAAACCAAGATGACTGCACAACTCCAAGCATTCCGCATTTCGAAGAAGGTGTCTGCAGATCCACCACATGTGAGCAAGCCTGCCCAGTCTCAGACCCAAGTGAGTACAAAAGTTGATCATATATACAGGGTGACAGTTAAATATGTACCTTTACATCATTAATTCTTTCTTCTTATTTTACTTGTTAGCTCTTTCTCTTCCAATCATCTTCACTCCGCTGTTCAGTTTACAGATATAAACATTTATTCAATAATGCTAGTCATCCGCCAAGATTTCAAATGTAGTGTAGCTTTTAAATTGTAAACAGTGTCAGTAGTCTTGTTTCTTTCTCATATTGTAATTAATAATTTCTCTTCCTCCCACGTTCAACTTCAAGCACCACAGTCACAACACAGTAGACCATCTTCGAGCTGTACTACTCGGGGAAAAAACGACAAATGAGGGACACTTCAGATACACCTAGCAGAAGCAGAAGACTGGAAATGTTGTTGGCAAGGCAACAGGATCAACAGTGCTCAAGGCTGGAACTTCCAGTCATCCCAGTACGATTCTAGTAAAATTACTGAAAATGAAAAAAACAAGATGTGGAGGGAAAAAAGAAACAAGACAGTAAAGGATGAAACAAGACAGAAAAGAATTCTGAAGTCATTGCACATTTTCTCAGCATCATTGCGTTTGACAAGAAAAGTGTCATCCTCCAGACGAGAATTCCTCCGATACACAAGCTGAAAGGAATGCTAGAAAATCTACTGCGTCTCTTGTACAGCCAATTTGTAGCTCCACAAGCAATCATTGCAGCTACAGACTTGACTCTTCTGGACTACAAGCACAAGGAGAATGTTTGTAAAAAATCTGAAATGCCGGTCATAGGAAGCGCAACAAGAGAAATTGTCAACAATTTAGATGAGTCTGATTGCCATATTAGTTCTATGCAGCAGTGCGTTCATATTACACCTAGGCATGTGACTATATTGTAAGTAAGTTTGCATTCTGCTATCGAAACAGAAAAAAAGAACATCAATGTCTTCACAATGGATGACTGGGTAAAACATCTTCCACAAAGCAAGACGTCGGCTTCCATACAAGGTCATAAACATGTGCCATGGAGACTTTAATGATCTGAAGAATCTCTCAAAGCAGATCATGAAGAACAAACGTCGAGACGAAGGTGGACACGTCTTCAACTGGCTACATGTAAAGAGCTTCCAATACAGGAAGGAAGAGCAAGGCATCATCTGCTACAAGTATAACTACTCGGATGAATACAACAAGATAGATCACTAATTCCACTTAATATCGACCTTGTCTACCAAGAGAAGCATTGAAAAAAGCCTAAACCTTAAGAAGAAGGATTTCACCAAGTTGTACAATAGCCTAGCCATTCCTGAAGAGTTCCATGGATGGTATTTGGCACTCCCATTTTGTAAGTTTCTGACATTGACAGGGTCAAAAGGTCATGGCCTCCATGTACGTTGTTTGACTAAGTATTATTCATAAGTTAATGGCATTGAACATAACTACTTCACATTGTCAGATTGTATGCTTGCAATCAAACTTTTAAATGTATTTTACTCAAAATGGCATATTTGGACATAGACAGTTGTGGTTTTAAGCCCTCGATCTATTGTTTTATTTCTAATGTATTTTTTTGTTCTGGAATACATCAATTTACTTTGATAAACGTATCAAAGCAATTTGATATCAATTCATACCTTCCACTTATACATCTATTTACCTGTTTTCACGAATATATGCAATTGTAGCACTTTACGCCCCCCCCCCCCCCCCCAGTACAGTAAGGAGTAAATGACATTAGCCATATAATTATACATATGCATTTTTTAAGATGCTTACATATACATGTAAAGTGTTAAAGGGGAAGTCCACCCCGAAAATAAGTTCGTCTTCATAAAAGCAGATAAATGAGAGAAACAAATCAATGAAATTTTGAGAAAAAATCAAAAAGAAAGTTATGAATTTTTTGGAGTTGTAATCTGTGAAGCACAAGTTAGAAACTGTGTGACATCACATGCGAGCTCATATCTCATTTGCTTTGTACAACAAATGTTTAAAAAAAATGATTTCTTCAGTCGTTGATTAATTGAATACGATTAGTAATAACATCTATCTGAAAGATGAACTAGGGTAATGCTTTTCCCCTACTAACAGTAATACTGGTGAAGGTGATAGCAGCAGTAAAGGTAAAGGAGACACTGATAATATTTGATATTAGCGGTGACAATGGAAATGTTTGATTTATATGACATTTTTTTAATCACTACGTGTAGGTATTGAATATCTTCAAAATTTCTACCATTTCAGAAAACTTAGTGAAAACTGGGTCTTGGCGAGTGTCTTTGATATGTTAAATGTAATACAACATTTTAGGAAAGTTTGAAAATTGGGTGGATATTGATTCTTTACAATTTTGATATATTTGGATACCCATGTGGATGTATTATAAACACTAGAAAATTTAGCCCTTAAAACACTTCTGCCTTCGAGAAAAATTGAATATAAAAATTTACCGGTGCTCCCAGTAAATGTTGATACATTTCAAATAGTGCCTACGGCCGTACAATGGTAGCTGTGACCATAAAATTCTCAGAATATGTATTTGTGATATATAAATTTCGAACGGGAATAGCTAATCGGCCGATTTTAGTCAAGAAACATTGTTCTATAGCTTCATTAATATTTTAGCCTGGAGAGGGAGCTATACATCATTAAGAGTTTATTATTTACAATTTCATAACTTTAGACTTGATTTCAACCGCGACAACGATCACTGAATATTGTAGGATCGCATATGCTTCAAATATGTTCATTTGAACCAAATCCATGACCCCATACCAAAACTTGGTATTACCTTTAAGGGAATTAAGGACAAATGATGTAATACCGGAGTTGAAAGATGAGTATGAATATGACATAGTGCTCTGTGAGAAGTTGGTGAAGTCATGGGAGTTAGCCCAGGAAGCCTTGAAAAGTGCTGCGGGAAAATACAAGAAGTATTCGGATAGGAATGCTAGAAACAGGAAATTGAATATCGGAGATCAGACGTTGATCTTGCTTCCCACTGATCAGAACAAGTTGTTGCTGAAATGAAAGGGTCCATTCCCTGTGCTAGGGTGAAGTATGACTATGACTACATTGTCGGTGGTGTTCATATCACATTAATCTTCTCAACAAATAATATCCCAGGCAGAAGGTTAACTTGTCAGTGGCTGGCTGCTTTGATTTGTGTACAGAGAATAGGAAAGTGTGTCGGGATTCTGCGGAACATGTCGAGGATCAGTTGTTTGTATTGAAGGTAAATGTGGGTGCTGGGCTTATGCAGTAGCATTCAGGAGAAGAATTCCTGATTGCTTATGCGAGTAACAAGTCATTACCACGGGAAGAAAATTAAACAACAATAGAAAAAAAAAGGTTCTTAGCAATAGTACGGGCAATAAAAAAGTTCAAATATTATTTGTATTGAAGTACACACAGACCACAAACCTTTCGTCTATATTCAAGCGAAGAGGTTTGACAAAAGAATCATGAGATCGAGCATGATGCTCCAAGATCGGTGAAGGTTCAGTATAATGTTACAGCACATTATATGAGCACAATGTAAAATGCAATACACATGGATTTCTTTTGTCTGTTGACCATTGTAAATTATTGGATGTGTATCACGGTTTAACATATTTTGTTAATGTCATTTGTTGAATACATATTGCATTTACCAGGATTACGTAATGTTGAGATTTATTTTATATTGATCTTGCCAGCCACAAATGTATACCCATCAAACTTTCTATGATAGCACATACAAAATTATTATCCTGAGCATACGTTTCATAGAAATGCATGAAATCCACTACTGAAGTTTGATATGAAAAAGAAAATATTACAGCAGTATATATATGCATTGTAGTTTATGCAAGTGCAGGAATATTACTCACTACATTTTGAACAGAAAAACAGAAAGAGATGAAAATTAGACAGCCATCTTAGTATCTAAATATATCAGAGAGGGCTTAATGATGCTGAACACAGAGCGTGTTTGTGTCTTATCATGTATTATACAACACCTACGTGGATCCTTGTCATTTGATTGGACGATTGTTGGTCACATGATATTCAATAGATTATATATTGCACGGTCGTGCATTTTTGGTTATATGCGCCGTGCATTTTTGGTTATATGCAGACTGCGTATCTCTCTGCTGCATGTGCGCGCGCGTATCCCTGCGTGTATCTGACGCGAAGGCAATCTGCATGTAATTGAGAAGGCTTGACTCGAACTGTAATTTATCTTAGCTTTATAAGGAGTAAAGCATAATTTGTTGATTAACGTTCTATTAGGTCTTCTTCGATGTTGTATAAAACAAATAATGAATGTTTTTCATTCGTTTAATAGTACAAATATTTTCATTCGTTGAAAGATTAACGTTAATTCTATTCAACTCGGCTGACGCCTCGTTGAATAGAATGTTAATCTTTCAACTCATGAACATATTCGCACTATTGAACTCATAACCATTCATTATTTGTATACTAATCAAGAATAGTAAAATTTATGATGTATATCGTTAATTGTAATTTATGTCTAATTAATGATGCAAATATGCAAATTTTTCCAAAGAATTCTCATTTTGTCCAGTTTCCCCCCTATTTATGGATAAAATGCAATTAAATTTGGCATGTTTGTAGCTTGACTTATAATTTAAAAGATAGGGTAGTTAAATTAATGACATGTATTGAAATTCCATATTTATAATTGTAATTAAATATGAAAATATGTTAATTTGTCTTGAAATTCTAATTTCTTATGTATTTCTCTGTTTTTAAATTTTTTGTTTTTCATTGTTTTGTTATCTAGAATAATTCATGATGGCCAAAAAGGATGTTATCTGAAGAAAAACAGAAAATAACGTTCTTCTAACAACACTTCTTGTAAAACCCGTACATTGTACACACAAGATCATTGGAAACAATTTTTTTGAGCCGTTTTTGTGTGACATTGGTCACAAATATGTGCTACATCTCCGATACCATACCCCCAATTTTCGCAAATAGAATCTTAAAATGTGCGGGAGATGTCAAAGAAAAAACTCATAATATTTCAGCGCCGGATTTTATTGCGTTAAAAAGTTATCGCAAACAAATGTATAGGGGGAGGGGGCTTCTAAAGCCCCCCACCCCCCCCCCCCCTGGGCTATATAGGGTTAACGTATAGCCATGTTTTGGTTTTCAACTTTGTGCAGAATATGTCATACATATTTATACATGGATTGTTTTATGTTAATTATCCCACAGCATGATATTGTTGTCCTATGTTGGCATTGGTTTTAGCAAAGGTTTTATTCAAAGGTGTTTGTAGACTTTTAACCATGCTCAAGCTTTTCCAGGATATTAACGTTCTGAGGTAGAGGTGCTATATAATATCATATTATATAAATATAATATAATATGCATTTAGAATTGCATGTGCAGATTTCAACTCAATATACAAGGGAATTTCATTTATCTAAGCCTCATGACTTGAAAGTAAGAATGCCATATTATTTATTCTACAATATACAATTTGGTTGATTAAACCATAGGTTGAGAACTGAGATTCCTGGATATACAACTACATGTATATATATTGACTTGGATCGGTATTTAGTGATATGAGCTATGTTGTGTCATGATCTTCTGATATCATGTAATGGTTGATAAGATGAAAAATTGTATGTTTGACTTGAGTTTTGCCTTGAGAAAGCTTAAATGATAATTTATGTGCAGTAAAAATAGAAACAGTTTGTTCAAAACATTTTCATGAGATACGTAGTAACCAGTGATTTTTGTATGTGGTACTGTTTTATAAGTATTTATCTAGGAATGTGAGAAGGAAGTTCAGTACCTAGGAATTATTTTTGAAAAGAATATTTTTGTTTATGGTAAAAGTTGTCATGATGACTTTAAATAAGAAAAATATATTTTATCGACAAAAATTGAGGAACATCCGAAGACATACAAGAGGAAGAACGAGAGCCAGAGGCCGGAAAGGGCGAGACAGAGACAAAGGGAGACAGAGCAAGAGAAGAAGAGGGAGGCAGAGCAAGAGAGGGAGAGGGTGAACAAATAGAAAGAGATATACATAGACAGAGAAGGAGAAAAGGAAGTACAAGAGAGGGCAAGGGAAACAAAGCAAGCGAGAAGAGAAAGAGAGCGAGATGTGAGTAGATAGATATATAGAAAGAGAAAAAAACAATTCTTTGTCCGTGGGAGAGACGTAAACATTGCGTATA